CTGCCACCTTCACCCTCAGGGCTAGCATTAATAATATTTTTTTAAAATTCATTCAATCAATTTTTCTTCAAAACTTCATTGTTCTTCAGCGTGGTCTTCTGTGAATGCACACAACAAAGGGTTAAGTCAGCGCCTGCGCGTGTCCCTCGGAACGTTCTCGAGCTCTGTAAAAGAAACATAGTTAGGAGTATGTGTACTGCGCATGCTCCGCCCGCCCTAACCTCAGTTCCATTTCTCCGCCGTGCGAAGTGGTTCTTCTCGCTTTGAGCTCTTCCAATTTCGCTATTTTCCGTCGTTTTTTCTGGATTGCTAACTCGGACCTCGACTTTGGATTGTTACGGAACCCTCTCTCAGCCTTTTGGACTTAGTTTTGGTGTTTTTCGGCTTTCCCGCCTCGCTCCCGGGCGTTACCCCTTTTCCCGCCCTTTTTACCGGCCATTTTGCCTAGGGTGTCTATGCCTCCCCCACCCTCCGGCCCTTTCAGTAGGTGTATCGTTTGCTCTGGAAAGATCCCGTTCCAGGACGGGCACGATACCTGCCTCTTCTGTTTAGGGGAATTCCATTCTCCCCAAAATTGTCGTCATTGTCAAGCGTTTACCAAGGCGGCATTAAGGGCTAGGCAACAGAGGCTAAAATTACATTTGTGGGACGTGGCCCTCTCAGCCTCCACACCGTCCTCTATGGAGCTCCCTGCTTCCTCTTCTACGTCCCATGCCGATGGGTCAGTGCCTTTGCCATCAACATCTAAGGCGGCGGACGTACCTGTCCAGAAACCATCTAAAAAGTCGTCCGCTCCGAAGAAGAAGCCTGTTCCTAAGGCAGCCGCCGCTGCAAAACCTGGGAAAAAAGAAAAATCAAAGGGGTCGGCTAAATCCAAGGACCCGGCTCCTCAGGTTTCCTCTGTACCTGCCAACCTCCCCTCTCCTATTCTGGAGGACTCTTCGAGGGACAGGGATTCGGTGCCTGAGGCGTTCGCACCACCTCCCCCTCGACAAGTTGAGCCGACTTTACCCCTTGGCATTACATCACCAACGCCAAGCCAGCTTGTGCGAGCCACCGCAAGCTTGGGTTCTGCCCCTGTCAGCCCCGTATCCAGCGGGCGGGCTTCTCCGGCTCACTCTGTGTCTCCAGTGTCTTCTCACCACCCTTCACCACCGAGGAAACGGGTGAGAAAGACGAGACACTGCTCCCGAGATCGCCATCGATCCCCTTACAGGGATGGCGCTGGGAGACATCGACGTTCCCGACGTCGATATAGATCGACGTCGGATGACTCTTCCTCCTCTACCGATCGCCACAGACGACGTAGACATCACCGCAGACACCGCTCATCCACCTCTTCTTCGATCTCGACATCCCCGGAATACCATCGACGTCGACGTAAAATTAGATATGTCTACGTCTCATCCTCCTCTGCATCTACTCCGCCCAGGAGGCGTCGACGTCGACACCGCAGGGGCACCGAGGGTAATCCTCAACAGCCTCCGTCGCTGCCGCAACCTTCGCTCGATGCCCCACTTCCACCTTCGACGTCGAGCGCGTCTATTCAACCGCAGCGTCCTGCCCCTATGCTGCCAATCGTCTCATCACCACGACGCAAGAGAGGGCATGTTTCGTCGTCCGAAGATGATGTCTCCTTTTCCTCTCAATCTTCTAGCTCAGAGGCAGAACCCCCTCCCCAGCCTGACCCTCATGATTTGCCAGAAGGGGAGACGGTAGGGTCGGACACAGGTGATCCACACGACCCCTCCCCTTCAGAGGATTTTACATCGTATTCACAAATGATGTCCCGCCTTGTTAAGACCTTGAAGCTGCATGTAGATGACCCGGCTCCTGCTGAAGAAGATCTCATTTTCGGGGACATTAATAAGAACCGGTCCCCACCTCCTAGTCTTGCCTTTCTTCCAGCTTTGCTAGACATTATTAAAGAACAATGGGAACATCCTTCAGCATCTACACCCTTAGCGAAGCGCACAGAAAACATGTATAAGATCAGTGGCACGGATGCGAGCTCTTCTGTATTTTGGAAGTTCCAAAGACAAGTGTAGTCAGTGTGTTGATTGTGAAACACATGCTACTCTCTTGCATTGCTTTTGTCCCAAAAAGTTACTTTTTGTGTACTTGGGGAACAGCAATCTGTTGAGTCTGTTCATACACAGTCAGACTTAGGGCAGAAGGTCCCTGTAGCAATTGAAGTGCAGTTCTGGTTATTGGGAACAGCCAGCCTCTTTGCAATCTGTTGAGTCTGTTCATACACAGTCAGACTTAGGGCAGAAGGTCCCTGTAGCAATTGAAGTGCAGTTCTGGTTATTATGCCATGTCCTGAATGCCAGTCTAATATTATACAGTATATAGCTGTGATCTAATTGATTTTCTTTTCTTTAGGAAGTTCCCTGTGCTTCCCTCAAAAATCAAGGTAAATGTCTTAACATAGAGGTATTAACTTATAATGAATCTGAGATAGAAGCCTATTCAGTACTTAAATTTAGTGAATGAACTTCACAAAGTTAATTCAGCTCATTCAGCTTAAGCTTTCAATTACTGACCAATGAAAAAGAAGTGCATGCTTCATTAGCAGAAATGTTGCCTGGTCTAGCCAGTTTTGGGAACCCTCATTGTCTCAGGAAATGTAGATCATGGCCTTTGTTCTCATGAAGTTCCATACTCAAATTATTCAGAGTGGAAGGCATTGCAGGTTGAATCAGTCTTAATTACATTGTGTTCGAGATATTTATTCGCAATTTTCTGAACCGCTTGTAAAAGCTGACAAAACATATGTTTCTATACTATTTTGTACCAGTGTGATGCAAAATAATGTAAAAATCTGAAACAATAAAATGAAATCTTATTGTTGGTATGCTGCCACCTACTAGTCTGTAGTGTATGTTGGCAGCATCACCTGTGACGAAAGGCCCATTGAAGCAATTACACTTTCAGCTTGTGGCAACATGATAGTAGTGTCAGCATATACTTGAAGTCAAGGAGAGGCTGGTTCATAGAGTAAATGCTATTTCTGAGAAGGGACTTTTTCAGATAATTGCATCACTACAAGATGAGTAACTAATGCCTGCAGCGTCTTCAAGATGACTTTATCTGCTGATCTTAATATGCAGGGAAGACATTCTGGGATGGTTACTCCTTCTGGTTAAATGAGCTCTGCTTTCTACATATTATGAATAAAGTCTTTGTACCTGTCTTTCAATGACTAAACTGGTCTGCTTATCAGAATAAGGTTGCAGTGGGGGGCCACAAAATAGGCACGTTAGTTTTCAATGCATGGCAGAGAATTAAAAATATTTTGTGCTTTGTAGTTGGTGTATTCCTGTGTGACAAACGGTGCAACAAGAAATTATCATGCGGACGACACAAATGTAATGAACTTTGCTGCGTGGTAAGTTCATGAACGTGATCCAGGGAATTTGATCAGTATAAAAATCATTAATTTGTTCTTTTAATATTTGATACAAATATTTTTCTTCTGATGATTTCATGTTCTTTTTAGGATAAAGAACACAAGTGCTCTTTGATTTGTGGGCGCAAACTCAACTGTGGAATCCATAGATGTGAAGAACCTTGTCACCGTGGCAACTGTCAGAAGTGTTGGCAGACCAGTGAGTGCACATCAGGGTTGTATGCTCTTCGGTTTCCATGTTCATAATCTTCCTTTGTTTAAAATGACATTCTTTTGATTGGATACAATCCAGTGAAAGTTTAGTTATCTGAGTTATGACTAAACAAAGCACTTGTTTTGCTTGCAACCATGTAAGTTTTAAAGATAAATAGTCATCATCTGTAGATAATATGGTTGGTTTGAAAAGTTATCCAACAGGGTAACTTGAGACGGCTTGGGTGTTGCACATAGAGTTGTTCAGTGTTCATCCTCCTTATGAGATATATAATAATCTAATTGTTTGACGTGATTGTGAAACCCTTTCCCAGATTTGACAAAGACAATGTCTGGTCAGGGAGTCTGACATCTGAATTTGTTTTGTTTGCTTGTTTAAAATATTTTTGCCCCGCTTTTGTCCTTAAAAAAGAAGCCAAAGCAGCCCTAAGAGTCATAAAATCAGAAACCTGTGTTTGTCAAGGGTTAATTCCAGAATGAGATCAGACAGTGATTTCCAATCATATCAAAATTCAGCTTGCTCAGTTCTACAGCTTTATTCATCTACATTGCATCTATGTTCTATAAGAACAAAAATAATTCAAAGTTGTTGAGAACATCCAAAAAGTCTTATAGGTATGGAAAAACTGTAGGCACAAATGCTTAAACATAAATCCATTCTTGCAACTTGTGAATAGCTGCGTGTGTCATTGCCAAAATTCTTGCAGCTATGAAAGATTGCGAACAGAACTAGTTTGAAAACGAAACTTAAGTTGTAGGCAGAGCTTAAATCATGTATTTATGTATTTATTATTTTTCAGAATTGCAATAGCTTACATTCTAAAATTGCAGAGGCTTATAACCTAAAAAGGCAGAATCAAAACGCAGAGAATACATCTCTAAAACACCAGAGTTCTTAAGAATGAAAATATATTTAAGAAAGTGACTTCCTTAACCTCTAAGCATGTTAAGAACACTCATGGAAAATTACTCTTAAGTTCTCACTCAACCATGCCAATTTGAATCCATGGAGGAAAATCCACATTGTCCTCATCAGTTACTGTGGCTACTACCTGATTGTTATTGATATTCAGTGTGTATGATGCAGCGTGGAGTGAATTATGATGTTTGCGTCTCCTGTCTCCCTATAGTTAGATCGCTTCCACTTGGTTTTTTTCCCTTCCAACTATAAACATTCTCTTTTCCAAGGCCTGAAAGTTATAGGCATCTGATGCACCAAGGAAAAAATGTTAATAGAATTTTTTGTTGTTGTACCTCCTATGACTCCAAGAGCTTGTACCTTGGAATCTAGCAGAGTACCACTATGATAATAAATATAATTGTTGTGACTAAGATTTGCAGAGCCTGAAGAAATTTAACATAAAAGCTGTGATACACCAAGGTCCTGTAAAACCAGAGTACTGTAGGTACAGAGGGTTCATGCTATAGAATCTGCAAATACCATCTCTGTTCATATTAACACATTGCAACAGTACTATGTGTAGCCTGTATAATTAAAAATTGTAAACCGCCCGGAGAGTGCTTGTAGCGCTATGGGGCAGTATACAAGTCAATAAATAAATAAATAAGTAAGTAAGTAAGTAAGTAAGTAAATAAATAAATAAATAAATAAATAAATAAATACTATGTTCTATGTGTTTCAATATGCTTTCAGTTCTGTCCCACAGCTTGACTGTCAGCCATGTATATACAGTAATGCCTTTGCAAGGCAGTCTTATTATACAATGACCTTGCTTCCAGACTGGGCTGAAGAGCTGACTGATTATTTTGCAGCTACTCTTAATAAACTGGCATAATTAAGCATAATGTCTCATAAGAAATTACTAAGCCAACTAAAGTAACTTCTGTTTCTACTTTATTCATCACCTTCTATACCCTTTGAGATGGTCTGCCAATCAGGCTTCAGATTCTCTCAAATGTTTACGAAGACAAGAGCAATTTCTGCTCCCTTCTCTTTACACACAGCCAAAGTCATTTCCCAATTAGTACATTACCAGGGAACAAGCCAACTTGACCTTGAAGTCTTTACTCAAGGATAAACCATAGATGTTACAGTACTTCCATTCCTTTGTGGGCAAAATCTGCCCCCACCTGTCTCCCAGTGTCATTCCCAGGCACTGAAAAAAGCCTGAATTTTCCAGGAAGGTCCAAAATCCATGTTCCCCCAATTTCTCACTTTCTTCACACTTCCCAATGAAAACTTTTTAAGTCATAGCTCCAAATCATACCTTAACAATTAACCACTTTATGAGTAGAAATTATGTTAAAATTCACTTTGGTTTCCTACAGGTTTTGAGGAATTAACTTGTTACTGTGGTGAATCAGTGATTTACCCCCCAATACCTTGTGGTACTCGACCACCAGAATGTAAAAAACCATGTACCAGACCTCATGAAGATTCAGTCAAGTAGATTTTTTATACTACCTTAATCTTGATAGTGGGGAGTTAAATAAAATATATTTGTCAATAGAATAATTGTCACTGATTGGTTTTTTTCCCCCTGGCTAACATGCAACAATATGATTTGTATTCTGGGGAGGTGATCTGTACTATAGAATGAGTTAATCTGATTCACAATTAAATGCCTTCCTGTGTTTCAAAGCAGAGAGGACACAAGAGGCAGTGGACAAAAACCATGTAGTGATCTCACATTGCATTGCTGCCTTTTCTAAGGATTTTGTGAGCCCCCTCCTGTTTCCAACCTGGTTCCTTCATTCAAAGCACCAGTCATAGCTTCAGGTTTAAATTCAACATGGTAGAGATATTTGTCAACTCAGTTTTATCTAACTTAGTACTTAAAATATTGTCTATAGGCGTTGGACATCCCTTCTTTAAAATGTAAATGTCCCCTTCTTGGGTTTTAACTGAACTTGAAACAGGTAATAACGAATTGGCTCCATAGATAGCCACAGTTAACTCCATGTCTGGATCTAGCAGTGACGCACCAAACCTATATTTGGTTCCCAAACCCGCTTGCCCAAAATGTTGCAGATGGGGGGGGACGGTCTCCCCCCAAAACTGATCCCAGGGGAAGTTAGGCATGCCCGTTTTCTGTGTTCTGTCTCTCCCTGAATGCTCTTGCTCCTTCTTCCCCCTCAGCCATTTCTCTCCAATAAAAAAGTGTCCACACCATCTTACTCCTCCACTCTCTTTCAGCAACTTGTCTCAGTGCCTTAAAAGCGACCCATTCTCCTGTCCATGGATCTTCTTTTGTTATTTCTATCCAGTCTTCTTCCGTTTTCTTCTCCTCCTCTTCCTTTGCCCGGCACTCCTCAGCAACTGCCCTAACTGCCTCCATCTCTCCCCCTTTATTCCCCTTGCCAACTGCCAAACGGTCTCTTCCAACAGTTGTTCCCTCCCTGAACATTCCAGAGTTCCTAGATTCAAATCAGTTCTCCCTGCCCTCAAGTCTGTTAACGCAGGATTTTCTTCAGCCAACTACTCAGATTTTGGGGCTGGAGGGGATGGCGCATCAATTGGTTCTCTCTCTTTCTCACATTTGGATGTTCCCTTTCCCTACATAGTGGCTAATGCAAAAGACTCCACGCCTTGTCATCAGGATATTTACAAGACTGAACTCTCACTTTTATCAGTGTGTAAGGTCTAATATTTGTTAGGCTCTACTAAACTATACCTCTACTGGTAGTAGCATAACTCAGGTGCATTAAAAAAACAACAAGACAATTTTAGTAGTCAAAAACTTCTGGAGTTATCTTATATCAGGGGTAGGCAATTTTGATGGGCCTACAGGCCACATTTTTACTTCCAGCATTTGTGGGCCTAGAAAATTTAAAATAATCATAATAAAAGGAAAAAAAGGAATATCATGAAGTTTACCTTCAGGTTTGCTTTTTATTTATTTATTTAAATATGTACATGTTGCATTTTGCTTCTTAGAAGTTCTTGTTCATTAGGACCAGCATGAATCTGATTCTCAGGATGTGTAAGAGGTATCTTTAACTAGTTAGTCTTACTCACAGTTAAGCTGATGTGCTCCGTGTTTATTCTTTTTTAGCTTTATATCTACTACAATGTAATTTTGAGCTACTGTAAAATATTTTAGAATACCTTTTGAAGTAAATTTTAAAAGAAAACATACACAAAATGCAACTTGAATTGGCCTTTTAAAACTTGAATAGAACAACAGGATAAGATCTTAGTAGACCACTGTGACGTTTACCCCATGGCCCCGTTTGTTTCACCAAACACAGAGCCCACAAAGGTGTCTCAACACACCCTTTAACACACTGCCACCAGCTGATCTCTTTATCAACCTATATTTCCTATGAAAGACTAAGGTCCATTCAGTACTGAACTTTTAAACAGAAACAGGTTTATTGATTTCAGGTTGTTTCAGGAATAATTCTTAAGCACATTCTTAAAGTTACACAAAGCTTCTATATTTTACTTTAACCTCTTCTATGTTAATTAATATGGGTCACACTCTGACTAATCACTCCTTAAACACTCAACCCCCAAACTACCTTCTCTCTTCTCGTCTCTCTCTGAACTAACTAGACTCTGACTCACCCCTCCCTTCTAGTTTCTTTGGCTCCGCCTCCCAACCACCCTCACTGATACATGCAAATAATCTTCTACCTGGGCCAAAGCAGGGTGATTGCTACAACCACACTAAAGAATAGAATACTGGACTCTGGAATACTGACATAGTATTTCCTAAAACACATAGCTATAGAAAAACATGGGTGAGTTATCTCAAAAAGACTGGATCATTTCAGAGCCTTTTCCTACATTATTTAAATGTGTTTTTCTTTTCCTTTGGCTGCAGTGTATCATTCCTGTCATAGTGAAGAGAAGTGTCCACCATGTACATACCTCGTTCAGAAATGGTGCATGGGAAGGCATGAAGTAAGTGTTCAGGTTTTATTCTTAGGGATAAATAACAGTTATGCTTCAGTGTTTGATATCAGTAATGGAGTGGATGAGAGTGAATAAATTGGAACTTAAGCCAGACAAGACAGAGGTGCTTCTGGTCAGTCTAAAGGCAGATCGAAGGATAGGGATGCAGCCGGTACTGGATGAGATTAAACTCCCATTGAAAAAACAGGTGCACAGCTTAAAATGTCCAATAAAAATTGCCTCTCTTTTTTTCTTTCTGATTTAGTTGCGGAACAATATTCCCTGTTACCTCACAGACATCTCTTGTGGTCTTCCCTGTGATCGAATGTTAAAATGTGGAATGCACAAATGTAAAAGGATCTGCCACAAGGGGGAATGTCTCATAGATGAAGAGTGCAGGCAGCCGTGTACGATTCTTAGGCTTCACTGTAATCATCCATGTATGTCTCCTTGCCATCCATCTTTACCTTGCCCTACAACACCTTGTAATGCAAAGGTAGGTGGGACTGAAAACACATTGCAGCAAGTTTCAGTCCACAGTCATGATCTTCATTAGAATACTACTTTAGAGTCCATGTTGCCTGTTTCAACTGATGGTGCAGAACATTTTGCTAAAATTTTAAGTTTTCCGTGAGGGTCACTCTACAGAATATGGAAGCTGTAGTTTGAGGCCTAAAGCTGGTGTTATCTCATGGATTTATGCAGGTTCTGTGATGATACAGTGGTGCCTCGCAAGACAAATGCCTCGCGGCACAAAAAACCGCTAGACGAATGGGTCTGGCTAGGGTTTTGATCCCTCGCAAGACGAATGTTCCTATGGCCCTGCCTCGCAAGACGAAGCAGGGCCCACTTTGCCTTGGGGGGGAGCAAGCCCCGGGAAGCTTCTAAGACCCAGCGCCGATCAGCTGTGAGGTGGGGGGGCGGGAGCAGAGAAGAGCACAAAATGGCTGCCGTCTCCCTGCTGTGTCTGGGCTCTCAGCTGTTTGCTGCTCTTTTTCCAGCTTTTCGGGGCTACCAAGGCACTGTGAGGAGTTGGGCTCAGTCTACAGTACCTGGCAAGTGACTTTATTTTAATTTTTTTTGTTTCTGACTTTCCCCCCCATAGGAACGTATTAATTACATTTCAATGCATTCCTATGGGAAAACTCGCTTCGCAAGACGAAATTTTCACTAGACAGCATTAGCCATGGAACAGATTAATTTCATCTTGCAAGGCACCACTGTATATTCAGATAACCGTACTTCGCTTCCATAGAATCATAGAATAATGAAGTTGGAAGGGGCCTATTGAGTCCAACCCCTGCCCAATGCAAGAATACAAATCAAATGCCAGGTGGTTGTGTAAATTTCTCTTGAATTCCTCCAGTGTTGGAACACTCACCACCTCTCAAGCTGATTCTACTGCCATATTGCTCTGTTAGGAAGTTTTTCCTGATATTCAACTGAAATTTGGCTTCCTCTACCTTGAGTCCATTGTTGTGTGTCCTGCACTCTAGGATAATTGAGAACAGATCCTGCCCCTCTTCTGAATGACTGCCTTTCAAGTATTTGAGAAATGCTATAATGGGAATTGCATTATTCATTGCCTTATTTTTTTCAATACTGCTGCTAAAATATTGGCTGAACTGTTCATTTTTCACTTCTCCTCTCTCCAGTTTAAAAACTTTCCTCATCTGATCAGTTAAGTGTTTCACATTCTTGATTTTGGGCTTTTGGTAGCTTAAGATTTCTAGGGCCTTGATTCAGAGCACCTTAAGGTATTACAAAGCCAGGAGTCCTTAGACATCTCTCCCATAGATATGCACCACATTATGCTTTTCTCAAGGCAAAACTAATGACCTGCATATTTTGTAATAATGGGTTAAATTCTTTTCCAGCCAGTCCAGAAGAACTGTTGGCTGATCTTTTGGCTTGTTTAGTGTAGTAGTTTGATTTTTAATCTGATAAAGAAGAAACCAGTTTCATTTTGGAAAGTAAAGGGGTTCTTAATTGTTGTTGCTCCAAGTCAGCTAACATGTTGTAACATTAGATTCTTGTTATGTTAAGAGGTATGTTTTGATTATTGTTTTTGTGACATAAAAGGTTGAACTTCAGTGTGAATGTGGAAGAAGAAAGGAAACTATGATTTGTTCAGAAGCATCAAGCACATATCAAAGGTATCTTTAGGCTTAAACTTCTGCATAGATGTTTTTGACAGTCTTGCTTCTGTGCAGCAAGCATATGTAGCTGTGATTACCTTTCACTAGGTGTATTAATTTCATAGTATTTGATCCAGGTATCCTAGAAAATACTATTCTTCACTGAGTTTTGCTGTCTTCCCCTTTCCTGCTGATCATATTGTAATCTGTTGGCTTGCTGCTGGCAGGAGGCACGGAAGCATACACTGCCTTCAGGTATTAGTATTATTCCTACTGATGAATTTCTACAGCGTGCTACAATAAGATGCTGGAGGTTTACTGTGGTATGATAATTTTGGGTCTGTACTAGCTTGATAGCTATAATCCTGTTACATAGTTTCATAAACAGCATAACATTTAGATGCATATTGCCATAATTTATGAAATCTCTATACACCTTATATGTTGAACACCAAATTGGGCAACTCAATATGCAACAGATACCACATGTGGAGATTTCTTACCTTATGCCAGTTAGCTTCCAAAAGTTACACAATTTATGTAGCTGAACACAGGATTTCAGCCACTGTCTATGGCGATTTCTTAACTTATAGTATCCACTTCCAAAAGTTACACTATTCGCATAATTGTGCAACAGGATTTCAGCCAGTTTATCATATGCAAATGAGATTATTCACACTATATAGTCTTTCTAAGCTTGCCTACACAATATTTGTGACCAACATAGAGATTCAAATTTGACTTACTGACATGTTTGAAATAATGATTTAATATAGAGGTGACCATTGTAAAATATCTTGTCTAAGTGATCTGCGGTAATCTAAAACTCACCTCTGAGAACTCCTATAGAAAGCTCTACTGATTGTGCGTTAGTTCAGTGTTTAAAACTTTGAATTCTGAATAGTTGAAGTGATTGCTTCTTTGAGTTTTTTAGATGGCAAAATTAATGCCCAGTTCCATGTAGGATTTTGGGCAATTAGCGAAGAAATTTCTCACAAAGTGTGGGGCATTTATATTCCCCTAGTGGAAAATAATAGTTTATTCTTGTGGGAGAGATTTCAGAGATGAATGTTCCTTTTGTTAAGTTTTTGTATTCAGTCCTGTTCCTTAGTAATTTTCTCTAACCCCCTTTAAAGACATGTTTGTGTTTCATAAGCTACAATTCTCTTCCAGAATAGCTGCAATTTCTATAGCCTCTAAGTTAACAGATCCACAGCTTGGAGATTCAGTAGAGATAAGCAGATTGATAACCAAAAAGGAAATGAAGCAAACCAGGTAATTACAAATGGAAGCAAATACTCAAGAGTACTGTATATTTCGTAATGGCGTAAGAACACATGTTTGTTTCTTTGTGCCATCAAGTTGCATTTAACTTACAATGACTTTAATAGGTTTTTCAAGGTTTGTGAGATATTTAAGGAACAATTTTACCATTGCTGGCCCTCAGTGAGTTTCTGTGGATGAGCAGGGATTCGAACCCAGGGCTCCTGAGTCTTCGTCTGTCATTCTCTCGACCGCACTACATTGGCTCCATGAGCAGTTTAAAGACTTCTTAATCACCCATCAGTCGTCTGTCATTCTCTAGACCGCACTACATTGGCTCCATGAGCTGTTTAAAGACTTCTTAATCACCCATCAGTTTTATCATTTACCCAGCAGAGTAATACGTTTTGATTCAGACACATCTTTGGCTTCTAAACCCTTGTATTTAACTGATGAGTGCTATTTGCTGTCTAGTGGTTTTTCAATTTGTCTGTTTTTATGTTTTTAATTAAAATTTCATGTGCTATCCTTAAGTGTTACTTGCATTGTCCACTGTATCATAGAGAGGTGGGATAGAGATACAACAAATAAATTTAAAAAACAAGGCATAGGCACTAATAGGCCTATGCAACTTATCTTTTGACTCCGTTCTCTTTAATCCATTGCCATTGCTGACCATTCTAGTGACTACTGTAATGACATCTCCATAGTCTGATAGAGGCAGAAAGAAAAAACTATGTGCAATTACACTGGTTAAGCAACATGCCCAAATAAAGTCAAATGCCATCATATTTTCTCTGTGGCGTGCCAGGTCATTCTCCTCTACTGCTGGGAAAGTCTTTCTTTTGGTGAAATACATAAGTTTTAAATAAGCAACACTTCATGTGCTTTCTTTTCGTGTTTATCTAGGCTACAGTGTGATGAAGAATGTTTGGCGCTTGAAAGAAACAGGTACGCAGTGATCTGACAGTTTATTTGAAGAGGAGTCACAATCACTCCTTTTCCTACTATACAAAAACATTGCAGAATTAGGTTATTTAAGAATGAGTACGAATATATAAGGCAAACTTATAAAAAAGACTGCATATATTACCAGTCTGGAATCAGTTTCTCTAGTTTGCTGTGGGCTGGTGGACGACAAAGAGCTCACTGTTTCTACATTTTATTTATTTTATATTAGATTTCTATCCTGCCCTTTTAGACAAAGTCTACTCCGGGCGGGTTCCATTAAACACTGTAAACTAAAACAGTGAAAAACAATTCGAAACAATAGTGATTAGTAATACTTAGTAAATGCTCAAGATGGGAAAACAGAAAATTATAATAAGAATAAAGTCAAGTATGGACAGGAGGGAAGCCCTGTCTGAAGAGCCACATTTTTTAATTGGCTCTTAAAAACACCCAGCGAGGAAGGCAGGCAGATCACTGATGGGAGGTTATTCCAGAGCCGAGGGGCCACTGCTGAGAAGGCCCGGTTTCTGGTTCTTTCCTTCTGGGCCTCTCTTGGCGTTAGGCCCCTCAACCGTCCCTCCTGGCTATGGCAAGTGATTCGGGTAGATCTAGGTGGGAGAAGGCAATCTGTCAGGTATCGAGGTCTTTTTACATTGAACAAAGTAAAAAGAGTTTCCCTCTGTCATCAGCCCTTTTGTTTACTTACACTGGGTACAGAAGAAGGACCTTCCATTCCTTCTCCACTAATACGATCATTTGCCTGCATGTAATTTGCCTGCATGCCATGTCTTTCTAGTGGTGACCTCTAGGCAGATAGTAAGGTACAGAACTGAACTAAGAGAAGGTAACTAGAGCATGCTAGAATATATTGTACTGACTTCTACCCCTTCAGAGGAATGTTTAGGTGTCTTACAAATACATTAAAGCAAAACACAATAAATAACAATATAAAATGATTAAAAATAGGAATAAGGAAGCACACATCTTATTACTATCTGGAATAGAATTGTTAAAGAGATTTTTGGTGGCAGGAAGGGATCTTCACCTGAAACCAAAATGGTAAATAGATAACTAAATTTAACAAGAGTGTTCTGTTCTCTGTAGCTGCCATCCAGTTTGCTTTATTTAGTGGAGAATGTTAGGACAGGTGATCATAGAAATGCTCAAGCGGTACTGTGCTTTAAAGGTAACCACCAGCACTTTGAATTGTGTCTGAAAGTGGATTGGGAGGCAGATACAGCTGTTTTAAGTACAAAGTATAGGTAAGTATAGGCAGTCTTCATCTAACTGTGTTTGTAGCTGTTGGGAAGCACTTGGTGCATAGAGGCCAGTCAGTTGGCCAGTGACTGCAGTCTTTCAAAGGGAGCTCCGTAGTACAAAGTATAGGTAAGTATAGGCAGTCTTCATCTAACTGTGTTTGCAGCTAGCTGTTGGGAAGCACTTGTTGCATAGAGGCCAGTCAGTTGGCCAGTGACTGCAGTCTTTCAAAGGGAGCTCCGTTCTGTACTAAGATTGATTCTCACCTTCCAAGGCCAGAAAAACATGCAAAAGCAGCACTTTTGCATCTGCATTGATCTTTAGTTTATTGCCCTTGACCCAGTCCCTACCTCAGACAGCAGGATCCAGTGACCATTGTTATGAAAATTGCCAGGACTTCCAGGAAAATCAATGTAGCTGCGCTCCCTTGTCTTCCTCTAAGGATATACAATTGACCAGGGTGACCAATGTAAGCACTGTGTCCAAAATAGGCGAGAAATCTGATGGAAGTGGATTTAGGTAGCAAATGTCATTCAAAAGATCCTGGAGTTGCAAACATTAATTCAAGGAAGACAGTATAGGCAACTAGCCGATCATTGGAATCTTACAGGTCCTAGATATGATACTAAACAATGCCTTCATAGTTGCTTCTTTCAAGGTGGCTGAAACTGGCTGTACTTGTAAAGATGGTATTACAATAAGATTTCTTATATCAGTATATTAAGCCAGCAGGAACAAGGACTAGGCATGGAGGTGGTTGGTTAGATTTGTCCAAGAAAGTCTTCTACATCCTCAGACTGTAGAAATTAAAATTCATCTAGTAAATATAGGGCTGAACACTGATAAATTTTATCATTGCCTGATTTGTTACAGTAGGGGCCAGTGTGAGAAACTTATCTTCAGAGTGCTTAGCAAGTGTGACATGGACTCAGCCCCCCAAGATTCTTTGGCCTACCAAAAGAGGCCCCCACATGCCTGGGAAAGCACAACTGAACATAACTTACAAAAACAATGGGATCAGTAGGAATTTGCTGCCTCTGTAACTAAGGGATATTTGTTTGGGGTTATTGAATTATTAAAGTTATTTGAGTCGGCAGTCACTAAAATAATCTTGAATATGTTATTTAAAAAAACCCAAGTGTAGGATTTTATAAGGTAGTATCATTTTACATTATTAAAGCAAGAAAATAGGAAAATGACAGATGGCAGGCATAGCCTCTTAATGGCATGTGAAAGGTTGGGAATTTATTGAATTTGGTCATATGGTATGACAGCTGTCAAATGCTTGGGTAATATATTGCTATATATATAACTTTGACTTTAATATTCAATAATCAGGCGGTTTGCCGAGGCTCTTCATATTGATGACAGTTCTGACCCTTTTAATGTTCGTACCTCTGCACCTAAGTACAGTGATACCTTGAAAGAGGACGGGCGGTATGTACTTTTGTTATTTAGTAATTTGTGCATTTCCCCATTGGAACCTAGTGTACCCACCCACACGAACAGGAATCACATTCATTACCATATAAAATGTTTGATTTTAAGCATTCATGCGATGCATAAGTAGTGAAATTCTGAATCTTCCTTCTAGCTACTTTTTTCTCTTCTGTGTTGCTATTTCAAGTAATTTGGCTAATGGGACTTTCAGAATCAGCATATGTCCCCTAATATGTCACTGTGTTTATCCTGTTGGCTATCCCAATCACACACACATGCATAAGATTAGCACTTTGTAAAAGCAGGAAAAATCTTTGGTATAAAAATATTACTCCCCCCCCCCCGAAACCCTAGCTATACTGAGCTAATCCTAACATTATTATGTGCTATTTATTAAGTTGCATCCAAAATATAATGACCTTTAAGAGGGTTTTCAAGGTGTGTGGGTTATTTAAGGAGTGGATGTACCATTGCCCCTACACTCAGTTTCCACGGCCCAGTGGGGATTTAAACCCAGGTCACCTGAGTCCTAGTCCATCACTCTGCCCACTACATCATACTAGCTCTTCAGCCCTAACATTAACCACCATAAAATAAAGAAGCAATTTTCTGTTACCAATTTTGTCTTCATATTTGCTTTTGGTTGTATTCTTCCATAATATTTTGTCCTACTGCAGAATAATACTATATGAATTGTGCATAATTTGTATAAAATGTGCAGCAAAATAAACCCACTGTGAATTTTGCATTACTGTATGATGATTTCTTCTGTGGTGGGAAATCTTTGTTAAAATTCAGTTTTGAAAAACTAAGTAACAGTTTTAATAGTTACCATGATAAGATGAAATTTACAGTGAAAGTCTGAAAATTAACAATACATTCTGTTCAAATTTAATGGGACGTGGTGGCGCTGCGGGTTAAACTGCTGAAGCCTCTGTGCTGCAAGGTCAGAAGACCTGCAGTCATAAGATCGAATCCACGCGACGGAGTGAGCCCACGTTGCTTGTCCCAACTCCCGCCAACCTAGCGGTTCAAAAGCATGCAAAATGCAAAAATGCGAGTAGATAAATAGGTACCACCTCGGTGGGAAGGTAAACAGCGTTCCACTTCTAGTCATGCTGGCCACGTGACCACGGAGTATTGTCTGCAGACAAAACGCTAGCTCTGTGGGTTGGAAACGGAGATGAGCACCACCCCCTAGAGTCGGACACAACTGGACGAATTGTCAAGGGGAGCCTTTACCTTTACCTTTCTGTTGAAATTATGCTGGCAAAATGTTTATTAGTATTTTGAGGTGCTCTGGATAGCAATTGCACTTTTATGTATTGATATAATTCTTCATTATTGCAGAAAAGATATAAAGTTTGTCAGTGAAATTGAAAAAGAAATGAAAGCCCTTATAGAAGCAGTTAATAAGGTTAGTAATGGGGGGGAACTATATCTCTAACTAGACAAATCTAAAGAGATATGTATGCATTTCATTCATATTTGGAAATAAAATCTGTTTTTGTAAAGGTTTAAAGCAGGCTTGTCCAACCTGCGGCCCATGGGCTGCATGCAGCCCAGGTCGGCTCATAATGCAGCCCAGGGCAATTTTTTATTTTTAAAGAAATTCCAAAGTTTCAAGTTACACTGCCGCGCTTGCGGCCGGACTGTGGCCGGGGCACGTCACAACGGTAGGTGGGGAGAGAGGGAAGGAAGGAGTGGGAGGGGAGGGGGCTGCGTGACTGCATTGCGCCGTCTGTGTCAATAGGTGGACCCCCTCCCGGCCCCATAAAGCCACCGGAGTCGAAGCTGGCAGCCTCTGCTGTCTGAGATTGCAGCTCCGGTAAGCACGCTTGGAGCGGGGCTGCGGAGGACAGCTAGGGTTGCCCCCCATATGACCCGAACCAAATTTATGTGCGGCCCAAACCAAATTTTCATCTTCTAATGTGGCCCAGGGAAGGTGAAAGGTTGGACACCCCTGGTTTAAAGACAGATTTATATAAACATATCTTGCAAATAAATGTGTCTTACTTACATGAACTCAATATCAAATTTTATTCAGGCAGCTTTTATTGTTAAGAGTTACTAGAGTACTCCAGAGAATTAGATTATTTTATAGGAGACAAGTTCTGGCCACCATAGTTTCAGAAAGATATTAATAACAAAAACATATCCAGTGGAAGGCAACAAAGACAATATAAGATCTGGAAATGAAGATATACCAGGGGTTGCTGATAAGTATTGAGCCTTTCCCAGAAAAAATTGAGCTAGGAAGCTGTAACTGCCACACTATTCTACATATTCCTCCAGGAAGTCAATACACTTGTGACATCTGTCCTGCAGCTTCTTAAGTCCCTGCAGATAAAATTATTCCAACTTCTGGTGTAACCACTCATTTGCAGCATTAGTTGCCTCCAGAACACTCCCAAATCGTTGTCCCTTTAGGTGTTTTTTGAGTTTGGGGAACAGATAATAGTCAGAAGGAGCCAGGTTGGGAGAATAGGGTGGATGGGGCATCACTTGAAAGCCTAAGGACGCCCGTTTTGCCATTGTTTCACCTGCAGTGTGTGACGAGGCATTGTCATGCAACAGGATGACACCTTTGGAGAGCTTTCCTCAACGTTTTTCCTTGATGTTTTGCCTCAACTTCGTCAATAAAGCACAGTAATATTTTGCATTGATGGTTGAACCCTCTTGAAGGCAGTCCACCAGCAGAACTCCCTTCTTCTCACAAAAACCTGTTGCCATTTGCTTCTGCACCTATCTTTGCCCTCGGAACTTTTTTGGCCTGGGGGAACCACTGTGCCTCCATTCCTTAGACTGTTCCTTTGTCTCAGGATCATAACAGTAGATCCATGTCTCATCACCAGTTTCCAGTTTGCCAGGAAATCTGACTCATTTCTTCCAAAATGTTCCAAAACAGCCACCAATAACTCCACATGTTTCCTCTTTTGTTCGGTTGTTAAAAGTTTGGGGATCCACTTTGCTTTCAGCTTTTTCCTTTCCAAGTTATTGTGGATAATGGCACCAACTCTCTCACGTGATATTCTCAGATATATAGCAATACTTTTGGCTGATATTCGGCCATCCTCCATGATCATGTCATGGATGGCTTTCACATTTGCAGGCACAGAGACAGAAAAAGGCCTTCCACTGGGTTTCTCACTTTCCATGCTAAAATGGCCAGTTTTAAAATTGACAACCGAACGTTTAACTGTTGCATATCAAGGGCCACTGTCACCCATAGTTTGTGACATTTCATCATGGATCTGCTTTGCACTTTTCCCTTGGAGAAACAGGAACTTGATTATGGTCCTATGCTTTTCCACACTGAACTTTTCTGGAGGTGCTGCCATATTCACTTTGGACCTGAACCTGAAACATAAGTTAAAGTCATAGGTAGTTGATTTTTGCACCATTGAATACAGACAAATTGGCCAACCTGCAATTTATAGCTTCCTAGCTCAGTTTTTTCTGGGAAAGGCTCAATACTTATCAGCACCCCCTTGTAAGGAATGGTTGATGGAACTGGGTATGTTTAGCCTGGAAATAAGAAGAGTGAGAGGCTTTTTGGTAGCCATCTTATTATTTGAAGGCCTGTCACTTATTTTATCCACAGTTGGAGAAAGCTTATTTTGTGTAGCTCCAGAGAACACAGCCAGAAGTAACATATTCAAATAACAAGAAGGGAGATATCACCTAAACATTAAGAACCACTTCTTGACAGTTAAGGCTCTTGGAAACTGGAGTAGATTTCCTCAAAGGGTGGTGGACTCTCCTTCATTAGAGTTGTTCAAACAGGTTTTATTGCCAACTAGGGATATTCAGTGGTGAATGTCTTGCTTTGGAATCCCTTCTATGATTCTGTGCAGTCTAGTCATACGCATGCTTCTGGGTGTTGGGAAAAAAGGCTAGAAACTACATATTTAATCTTCACCAGTCTTCATAAAGATAATGTTTCCTTCTGATTCAGAGCAAGCATACAAAGAAGAGTCATTGTTTCCCACCCATGAACAGAGAACACCGTCGAATCATCCATGAGCTTGCTCAGGCTTATGGCATTGAGAGTGTGAGCTATGATAACGAACCAAAGCGCAATGTTGTTATCAGTGCGGTGAAGTATGTTGTTCCATTTTTTTGTTCTAAGTGGCAAACGTGTCAATAAGTGCTATCATACTTGTATTTGCTATATTTAAACCAATTTGATTTTTATATTTACATGGTCCAGATGCCATACACATTTATGTTGATGAGGTCATTGTATTTTTGTGACCTTGTTGAAAAAGTTTCCCTTTTGATTCAGTTCATATAATTTCTTCTTTACACATTTAAATGCTAATAGTTGCTACTAAATATATTTTCATGTAAAAGTCCTGATTAAAGCTAAAAATTCTGATATGTAACTTGTAGCAATGGAAGGGTGATGATATCAGCAACAGGGGGTAAATTTCGGTAATTAACAAGTTCTCACCACTTTTTGGACTCCGCTCAACTCCTTTCATACCACTTGGAAGTGGTAGAAATCATGGCATTGAAGGAAGACATTTAATTACCAAATATAGCCACCACTGGATAAAGTTACTAGCAGAGGGAGATTTTCAATAATTAGACTTCTTTCTTCATCCCTAGTCTCCCATAGCTTCCACACAATTAAAAAGATTACAAGTAAGTTGGAAAAGCCGGAACTTTTAAGTTACTGAATATCGTCACCTACTAATGATCTCATCACCCTTCCACTTGCATAAATTAACAGGATTTCAGCCGATTAGTTAGGAACACAACCCCACCCCAATCAATGTATTTGTGCACTTTAGACTTGTCTGCTATTTTATTAATCAAACCTCTGTTTCTTCAGATATTACTGTTTGTGGCATTTGTCGTTAAATATCTTCATTTAATAAAAATCCTCACTAGTCCTGCAAAATGATGGATTGTACTTAACATATTTTGAAAAATCTGAACATTATCTTATCATTTGCATTTCTTGTCTGAAGAGAGAACTAGTCCAGTGGTTCTTAACCTTTGTTACTCGGATGCTTTTGAACTGCAACTCCCAGAAACCCCAGTCAGCACAGCTGGTGGTGAAGGCTTCTGGGAGTTGCAGTCCAAAACTCCTGAGTAACTCAAGGTTAAGAACCAGTGAACTAGTCCATTAAAATGACTCTTCCCCTTACCTTCATGGCGCTCTTACGTCAAAATATGAGGAAACAAAAAAGTGCCATACAGTTAGAGTCATGCAGGCATCATATGACAAATCTCATTGATATCTTGACTTTCTTTCTCCAGAGGGAAATCAGTTTGCCCAACAGTTACTCTGACATCACTGCTTACCAAGGAGAGGCAGACTAGACCCCCGCCACCTATTCCTCATCACAAACAATCAGAGAAGTATGTAAACTTTTAAATATTTGTGTTGGCAGAGTACTCTTTATCGAAGAGTAGACTTTGGTCTAGATGGGCGGGGTACAAATTAAATAAATAAATAAAAAATCTCAGACTGACTGTGAATACATTTAGTGGTGTATTCCCTGGCTGGTGAAGTGTGGGCTATGTGAACATATTGCCTTTGGGAACTTACTGCTCTCTAATGAATTAATCTTATAGATAAGAATGGTCATCATGGGATCCAGATTATATCAGTGCTTATACAGGTTTTTGTGAAGGCTTGTAGAATTTTTACTAAGTTTTATCTTTCAGTTCTGTTAGTTTTAGTTAAATCTGTGTTGTCTGAAGTGTACTCAGTTGACAGTATAATATAGTGTAATATAGTATAATATATGTTTTAATTGTTTAGACAGATTTTTAGTACACAAAGTGTACCTCAAAACATGACTTTAATGTCTAAGGTGATTTCTTAATTTAGGCAGTTTACCTCCAAATATTATATTTGTGTTACATTGGTTTAACCGGGCAAGAGAATTTCGGCTACAATCTGGCAGTTGCAGAGAGCCCACCCATTCACACTTCTCCTGCTTCTGGCCAAAATGTTCTATTGACTCAGGAATGCTCCCACGTCCCCAAGGCAAATTTCTTGATAACATTTCCCTTTTCACATAAAATATCTTCATTTTTGTTTCTCTGGGTCCCCCCCCCCAATTCTTTGTGTTAATTTCAGGCATGGGAGTAGCAGCTCAGAGAGAGGATTCAAAGAGGAGCCAGTAATTGACTACTTTGATGTACAGGATTGAAGAGATGAACCTGAAATTACACTATTGAAAAGTGAATGTGAAGCTGTTGGTGTATTTAGGATAACTTTTGTCAACCAATTATGTTTAGAATTCATATGGACGTTAAGGATGGAAATAAGTTATTCGTCACAAAATTGTGTAAACCAGTGTGGGGTGGATGGGTGTATTTTTTAAAAGAGTGTGGTGAGAGCTGTATATGTGCATCCGTATCCAGCTTTTGATGTGAATCTTTGTGTAGTTCATAACTACAAAAAATTAACAAATGGCATCTAATCCGTTACACTATATAAAATAAACGGATTCCTTCTCATCAGGGTCATATATTTGTCTTAGTGCAAAATTAGATTTATAAAATAGCCTTATTCAGTTGATCCACTCATATGATTGTAGTTACCTTAAGGGAAGAATGGGACTGCACTCACAGGCTCTACCCCATCTCTCTTCTAACCTACAGTATTCACTGATTTCTGAAAGAAGAGCCTGCTGCCCCTCCCAGAATGATTTAGGACACTAATCTTCTCTGTCAAGTAGCCTCTCCATTTCACATTGCACCCACACGTGGGGGAGGAAGGACTGGGGAAGACAATGTCATTAAAATATTTTGTTAAAGGAAATGTATAATTCAGTATTGGGGAAGTGTGAACAGATTGTCTTGGAGTTTAACAAAATGGTCAAAATAATTAAGAGCTAACAAGAGGGAATCCACAGTATATTTGACCTTGTCAGCAGTAGACCTAGTGAGTCACTGTTTCTAAACTTCATTTGCCTATTCCATCAGTCCTTATTACTAAAGCTATATATTGACAAGCGGTTACTCCCTTACTATTCACTTAAGATGGCTTGTAGAGCTATGCTTGGCTTTTAGTGGCATAAACATAAACTGCATTTACCTCTTAATGCAGGAAGAAATTGTGTTGAACAGCCATTGAATATACCTGTTGAATTTGGAATTAAATAAAAAGGCTTCTCCTTTTTTCACTAACAGTATTTCTGTTTTTGGGGGGCCTGTTTATTTTCTTAATACCTTTCCTGCTGTAAGATGCAGATATATACCATCCTGCTTCATATTTTCTTTGTGGGCAGATTCTGATGCTAAAATTCTAAATTTAAAGAGTGCCAGTGTTGATACTCGTTGGTGCAGATATCAGGTGGAATGGTGTTGTATTATGGCATTCCTTAGTGAACAATATTTTTGTTGGCTCCCAGACTTTCCTTCAATTGTATAAGGTAGCATTTTATCAGTGTGCAGGATAAATCTTGAATCAACCTGTATGTATGTTTAGCTTGTGAATACATGCACATGTAAATTCTTTGTGCATTGTGGCTTGGAAAATGGGTGATGACCTGGAATAAGCTTCCATATGGCCAGATGTTTGAACATGAGAAGGGGCGAAATCAGTACTGGTAGTATTTTTAAGGTGCTATACATAGAGACATGGGGCTAAATAAAGTGGCATATATTATATTTACACCTATTGTTCTGCACTTTGATAATTAGTTTACTTACTGTGAATGTATTCACAAACTATGACAGACTAGCCTCCTTCTGGACACATGTCATTGAAGAAAAGATGGCATTTCATTTCATAGGGCAAGGATGGATGATTATTTGGTATGATTCACCAAAATGCCTACAAATTGAGCCCAATTGTGCCTTTTCCAAACACCCCAAAGGAAGATCCTATTTCCTTTTTCATACATGTAATAAAGCTATGCCAGTTTTGCCCAGTCCAAGAGACAGATCTTGCATGGTAGAGTCTTTGCACACCCAAAACAGTTCTGATGGCCTTTCTTGACAAACATTGCAGCTTTTATCCAATGCATATAGTTGCTCATCAACAAACACCGTTGGCACAGTTTGTGGGCTTATGTATAGAGGAGACTGCTACCTACAAATAAGCCAACAAATATGTTAATATAGAATGGATCAGTCAGAGTTTGTGTGGATATAGAGCCCTCTGCTCATTCCATCAAGCACAGTTTAGAGGCAATTTTCTATTCATGTCTGTCAAGGATTTTCACATCTGCATAAACAAAATAGATGCTACTGGAGGTGGTTCTCACTAGGAACAACTTCTTGTGTATGAGTTCTTTGGGTCAGGGTCCATGTGTGCAGAGAGATTTACTTGTTTTCAGTATTTTACAATTTTTATGTACTGCATTGTGGTTTTAATGTGATTGGTCCTGCTGTTGCTTGGTGGAAATACTATGTAAATATTAGGGACTGACCTGGTATTTCCCTTTGCTGGTTTAATAAATTTGATATGGCTTCTGTGGAACTGAGCTCTCAGCCATTGTTTTGAAATTACAATTTTCATTTATTCCGTTCTCACCTGGTTTTGCATTATTGGACAACTGAACTGACAGGAAGAAACTTGTTCAGAAGCTTGTTTAGAGCAATTCTTAAAAACTATTCTCTTACAATTATGAAAGGGGCAGTTAGGTTTATATAAGCAAATTCTGCTGCAGGTAGAATTTCAAGACTGAGGCTTATTAGTATCTGCGAATATTCAAAACAGCTTGAATTACTCTGCTCTATGTGCATCATTTGTGTGTAATCTGAAATTGTGAAAATTGCTATGGAGACCATTGTGCCATTTCTCATGATGTACTTCACGATGAAGTGAAAAATATTGATTTATGATAGTTTTTTTTAAAAATCAAGTTATTTGTTGAATCTTTATATACACAAACACACACAACCTGCCTGCTTTCAAGTTCAATGGTGTAATAAATGATTGAATTTATAAATCTGTAATATATATCTGTAATAAAGTTGAAAAGCTCAGACGAATGTTCTCTGGATTTTCTTAACTTTTTTGTAATAGGCTGATGTCATGCTAAAAGTTAATGCAATGATTTGGGAGTTTTTATGACTGTCACAATGAAGTGAAAGCTGTTCTGCCTTGAATAAAATATATCAAAGTACTTTAAAGCTATATTATGATTTTTTTCAAAACAAGCAGACTTTTTAGTTCTTACTGCTAGAGTTGGACAATGTGGGATTAGGATTAGACCAAAACTAATATGTCAAGTTTAATTCTGTTCATTGCCTCATTTTTGTAAGATTAAGGCTAGATCGACTTCCACTGGCTCCTGTTGCTTTTGCCATAATTGCAGTTTGCTCCTCACTTTCAGCCACTTTTGCACCCTACAAACTTGCTCTGGGGTGGGAGCTGGAAAACTATCTGAAGCAGTTGTTTGGCAACCTGTGAATTTTTTCCAGCAGCAGACGGAAGTACATCAAAAGGATACTCTCATGGCATCCTTTGCTGAATGACATAGGAAAATTCCCCAAACAAGAATTTCCCATTTCATCATACATCATGAGTCCTGTTCATTCCAATAATATGGAAACACGAGCATAGTCTCAGGAGAGAAGCTAGCCATGGGCAGCTTGCCGATGGCCACAAATCCTGGCTTTCTTCCTTAGGAGGCCTACTGGGGTGGTGAACTCCCAACCTCTGGCTCCACACACATTGTTTCCAGCTCTGAGCTATCCAGCTACTATTTGAATTTTTAAAAATCTTTCATAAGCGGGGTGTCCAAGCAGGCATCTACAAATGACACAGAAAAGAACTGTGGCAGTCAGGAAAACAATACTTAACCAAACTGTAGAAATGAGAGAAATAATATTAAAAGGAATCAAGAGCTTAACATAATACTGAAAAATTAACAAAGTCTAAGAAAATACTGTAAATGGGAAGGGATAGCAAATGTATAATTGCTGACAGAGACATTCTTGATCAAGCCAATATAGTGCAGTTTTGTAGTGACATTTCAAAGTTCTCTACCTAGTGGTGTGCAGGGAAACTGAAAATTAAAAAAGAATATAAAAATGTTATAGTGGCAATCTTGCCTTCAAAGAAATTAACCTCAAAAGTGCCTCAGATTTTATCACTACTCAGTTTTTACCTGGTTTCTCTACAACTATCCAGACAAGCACATTCAAGCCAAAGCATTTAAGGAAGAAAGCCACAATTCCATTATCCAGAGAAGCAGTTCAGTCTTAGAGAGAGGATCCAAATACTCTGCATATTATCGGGGGCTTGTTGTTCAGTTATTTGACATGAAAAATAAATTTCTCACTGCAGTGTTTATCAACCTTTGACTCTCTCAATGTCTTACAAATGCCAACCACCACAGTCAATAGCCAGGAATTCTGGGACCTTAAATCCAAAATACCTGATATGCCAGAGATTAAGAACTATTGCCCCACTGCGTATCTGGAGCATCTTGCCCTTAATAGCTTCACTTTGGAAAATCAGCCATCTCCACATTCTTTGGGAGTACAATGGTGATATCTGGCTTTGGCTTTCCATGTCAGAATCCAGAAAACTGAAGATAACAGAGATGAAGGATACTGAAGTTCTTAGAGAGATGTCTAATATCTTCACAACAGTTACCATCAAATTGAAGTGCCTGTGATGATGAAAATAAAACTATCAAGAATGGCAACTGGCCATATAACAGTTCTTACTTATCCCAGAGAAGTTGCTGCTTCAGTGTTGTCAGCTGATGCCTGCAATGAAATATCAGTTAAAATATGGTCACAAGAGGGCTGTGTTGAGTACCTAAAGCATCTATTCCAGTTTCAAAGTCAGCATTAATAGCTGGGGCTTGAAGAATCTGCTTGCCATTCCTTGTTGCATTCGGTAATTATTATTATTACTCGTACATACCTTCCAGTTGGTTTCTGTTTGGAATAAGTTCTCACAAAATCAAAGGCAGATTTTTCCCACTCACCTGAAGTGTTCCATTGTCCTTCCACTCCAATCCTCTATGAACTTGTGCAGCAGCAGATACAGTTGTAAAACTGGCTGCTCTGTGCTTCGCTATTACCGATGTGTAGTAGTAGGACCACTGATACTTATTTAAATAATAGATCTCCGAGCAGAGTGAAGGGATCAGGCTGGAGATAATAACAGAATTCCTTTAGATTGCAAATGAATAATAAAACCATAAAGGATTATAGGTTTGTTCCTCCTTCCCTCACTTAATGGTTAAATCACCCTTTGATCTCTCTCTCTCTCTCTTTTGTGGTTCTTCAGTTACCATTGCTATCTGTGCATGTTCCCAATAGCTTGTTCCTCAGCTGTCTGTTCCATAGTGGACCTACCACCATGATCTATCAAATCTTCCACATCTATTTACTCTAAAAACCTACTAGAATAGTCTTTCTTTCCTCCCCACTTTGTGAATTTCTCCCTTTCCCCCTCTTCTTGTTAGTAACCTAAGAGGCGTTAGCCTTACTGTAATAGTCACTCGTCCAATTAAATCACTTTTTATGTTTTGCTTTTCAGAATTTTAACAAAACTACCATGCTGAACACCACTCTGTGGGTGTTGGTTACTAGGGTCCAGTCTTATTTAAAATGTGATGTTGCTAAGGTCAACCATTTTTACAGATATACGGATTTATCAGATTTCAAGGACAAGAAGATGCATACACTTCCATTTCCCAAATATCTCTCTCTACAGAAATCTGGCTTTCCCTATTACACCTATGATTTTTAAAAGCTCAATGTTTGCTATGAAGTAAAGTGCGGCTTTTATTAAAATCCATCGATTTTCAAATTTGTGCTGCTCCATTTGCATCTTTTGTGTTTCACAGACCCTTCTTTTCCCCTCATGAGAACTTTGATAACAGCAATGTTGTCACAGTGGCAGTTACACCTGGTAATTGCACATCCAGTAAAGCAGAATGACACATTAAGATGAAGAGCAGCAACATAATCATTTGTTGTTTTGTCATTAAGTTGTGTCGGACTATTTTGTCGTTAAGTCTTGTCTGACTCCCATGGACCAGAACATGGCAGGCATTCTTGTCCTCCACTGCCTCCCGGAGTTGGATCAAATTCATGTTGGTTGCTTCGATGACACTGTCCAACCATTTCATCCTCTGTTGTCCCCTTCTCTTCTTGCCTTCACATTTTCCCAGCATCAAAGTCTTTTCCAGCGAGATTTCTCTTCTCATGAGATGGCCAAAGTACTGGAGCCTCAGCTTCAGGATCTGTCCTTCCAGTGAGCACTCAGGGTAGATTTCCTTCAGAATAAATACGCTTGATCTCTTTGCAGACCAGAGAGCACAATTCAAAAGCATCAATTCTTTGGCGGTCAACTTTCTTTATGGTCCAGCTCTCACTTCCATACATCACTACTGGAAAAACCATAGCTTTCACTATTCGGACTTTTGTCGGCAAGGTGATGTCTCTGCTTTTTAAGATGCTCTCGAGGTTTGTCATCGCTATCCTCCCAAGAAGCAGGCATCTTTTAATTTTGTGGCTGCTGTCACTATCTGCAGTGATCATGGAGCCCAAGAAATTAAAACCTTTCACTGCCTCCATATCTTCCCCTTCTATTTGCCAGAAGGTGATGGGACCAGTGGCCATGATCTTAGTTGTTGTTTTTTTAATGTTGAGCTTCAGACCATTTTTGCGCTCTCTTCTTTCACCCTCATTAAGAGGTTCTTTAAATCCTTCTCACTCTCTGTCAACAGAGTGGTATCATCTGCATATCTGAGGTTGTGGATATTTCTTCCGGCAATCTTAATTCTGGTTTGGGATTCATTCAGTCCAGCCTTTCACACACAGTGGTGCCTCACTTTGCACCTCATTAAACGACGAATCTGCTTGACGATGAGGTTTTTGCAATCACTTTTGCAATTGCAAAGCGATGTTTTAATGGGTAAAATTCACTGCTTCAGGAACCGATTTTTCGCTTAACGATGGTCTGAAAACAGCTGTTCGGTGGCTCTCAAAATGGCACCCGCTGTGCAAAATGGCTCCTCGCTGTTTTTAGGATGGATTTTTTTGCAAGAGAGGCACCGGAAAATGGCCGCCCTATGGAGGATCTTCGCTGGACGATTAGGTGTTTAGCCCATTGGAAAGCATTGAGCGGTTTTCAATGTGTTTCAATGGGGTTTTTTCCCCGCTTGACAACGATTTCGCTCTACAGGAATTTCGCTGGAACAGATTAACGTCCTCAAGCAAGGCACCACTAATTTATTCTGCATATAAGTTAAATAAGCAGAACAGACATACAGTAATCATTAGGTGTCTTCAATTAACTTAGCACCCTATCAGTAGGGTGTGTTTAAAACTAAAAGTACTTACCTGGAAGTCAGAAAGTTCTGTTGTATGGCTGTAACAGATGTATACTGTTATGTATAAGTCCAGAATCCTGGTGGGCCTTATGGGAGATACTTTTCAGTATTGAGCTGAAAGCTGAAAGGAGATGTTTTCAGTATTGAGCTGAAAGTTAAGAGGAACAAATGTGCGGTGCTGGGAAATGTGAGAGTAGCGTGGCGGGTTTAGAGCTACTCGTACCGGGCTATTCTGCACCAAGGTGAGAGGACAAAGTGCAGAAGAAGAGAGACCAGCTACCAGGCTATTACAATAATCCAGATGTGAAACCACCAGAGCATGAACAAGAAGTTTTGTAATCTCAGGAGTCAGGAAGTGACGAATATGGCGAATATTAGCCAAATGGGAATTACATGTCTTGGCTGTCGCATTTACAAATGAACGAAGCGGCAGCTGATCATCCACTAAAACACTAAGATCCCTAGTCTCTGAGACAGAAGTTGCTGAGTCTAAAACGTGCAGTTTTATCACCCCAGATTAGGGACTTGCATCATCTCTGTGGAGGCTAAAATGGCCCTAGGCCCATTCAGCTAAATTTTATGTTTCTTACAATTACAGTGGGGTCTTGACTTGAGAACTTAATCCATATTGGAAGGCGGTTCTCAAGTCAAAATGTTCTCAAGTCAAATCTGCATGTCCCATAGGAATGCATTGAAAACCATTTGATCCGTATCTGCTCTTTTCCGTCCATAGAAACTAATGGGAAGCTGCTATTCTGCCTTCGACCACTAGAGGGGGATATTTTGTTTCTTTTTTTCTTAGGTCAAGAAAGGTTCAGGGAAGG